CGCCCACACCCACACCCACACCCACACGCACACCCACACGCACACCTACACCCACACCCACACCCACACCCACACCCACACCCACACCCACACCCACACCCACACCCCACACCCTCATACCCTCTTCGGAAAGTGAATTCATGTTCGTAGACAAAACGCAGATCCCAACAGAATGATCTGATTCATTATTATAGGAAAAATTTTTCGACAAAAAAACTTTTCGTCAGCTTTTGACCGGTTTACACTGTTCAGTCACTGGTATCAGTTATATTTGTAGCCGAAGTGTTCCTATAGACAAGAAAACGATTTTATTCTTCTATACAAACAATCATATGACCAGAACAACGGCTATCTACTTAGTAAATAGTTTGAAATTAGACCATGCGTTAATGTGCTAAAAGTTTTTTGTTTTGTATTCGATTACGATGAGGAATTCATAAACGCTTCTAAATATTGTAATTTTTCTGAAAACGAACCACTGTTTTATCATTTATTTAATGCGCTTCGTTTGTTCTTTGAGCGGTAATGTCTATAAAGATCGAATGGTATAGAAACGTATAGGTTTCTGTACTTATAGCACACTCCTACTCGGTTGCTAGTGTGTATGATTGGGTATCACTAGTAAGAAAACTTGATTGATGTTTTTTCCTAAACTTTTGTCATCATATTTAGCTGCTACCACTACAACGGCTGCAACTACAGTCAGTAAGTAGTTTCAAGAAGAAATTCAAACAAAGAATGTTTCATTTGTTTATTTTATTTCAGCGATTACATCCAATACTTGCACATCAGGATGGAACAGTATAACGGTACTTTATCATTGTTATAATAATTGTACCGTTCAGAGTTCGTATGTGCAGTATACATACACATATGTAGCGATTGCCAGTACAACACGAATTACACTTAGTTTGCGTGAAGATAATTATTTTTTTGGCCTTGATAACATAACTGTATATAACAATGCAGCACCTAGCACTCAAGTACTTCTCAATGGGGACTTCGAGACATGCACTCTCTCGTCATGGGTCTATTGCAATCCAAGCAATGCAGCTTTTTCCGGTCAAGTGCAAACGACCAGCTTCAGTTCTAATGGTCAAACGTATTCAGCTTACTCTGGATCGTGTTTCTATCTGGATGGAGCTGTAGGCGCTCCGGATTATCTTAGCCAAACATTTGCGACCATAGTTGGCAACACATATACTATATCCTTTTGGTTATACAATCCAAGTGGTGGTACAGGAGTTAGTATTGATATCCTAATGAGCACCTAATAATATAACTACAGACATAATAAACATGGTAGATACTAAAAATGATATCCATATTTTTGTCATTTTTTTCTGTTGTTTAAAGAACAGCGTTAATCAAAGTTTACAAAATAAATAAAAATTACGCAACAATTTTCCAATCTTAATAGTCAGCATACATGGAATGAACAGGTGTGAGCGTTCTTCTCGTTTTCATCGGCACTTACACTCATAACTGCCCACACTTTTACTACATAGCTATAGCTTTGGGCAGAAAACCAATCTGACACAGCGTTCTTCCGCTCACTTAGCTTTACGTACACGTTGACTAACTACGTACCAGAGACCGTCACAGGGCACTTTTTTCGGCCCTGCCCTGCCCTGTTGCTCTGTCACATCTTGCCCTGTCCTGCCCTGATAATAGCACATATTATTTTCTTTTGCCTGACCTGCCCTGAGGGCAGGACGGGGCAAGGCAGGACGGGGCAGGGCAGGGCAGGGCATGGTAGGGCAGGGCAGGACGGGGCATGGTAGGGCAGGGCAGGGCGCCCTGTGGGCATATGAATTGAATCCGACTATGGGATGGGTTGATAATCTAATGAAAAATTTTGATTGTTTTTATGCTTAGTACAGATATCTTTTTCACATAACTTCAAAAGAATATTATCCACACACAAAAAAAAAACGATTATAAATCCGTTTAAATTCGAGGAAAACGATACT